AACTTTCTGTTACTAGTTTGAAGCCTGCTACCCATTCCTTTCCTTTGGTGTCCTCTAGTCCTTCTATTATGGGAACTAATGGAGAACTTTTCTTTATGCACCCTCTCCACACCACTCATACTTTTAGAGACCTCTATCATATCCTCCCTCCGTCTCCTCTTCTCTAAGCTGAAAAGTCCCAGTCTCTTTAGCCTCTCTTCATATGGGACCTGTTCCAAACCCCTGATCATTTTAGTTGCTCTCCCCTCTCCCAACCTCTCTCTTCCTCTCTCCCACCTCTTTTTCCCAGTCTCCCCCAGTTTTGTTCAATAAAGAGAGATTCTATTTTTGAACACGTTTTCTTTATTTTGTACATCGGGAAGGGGGGCTAGGGAAGGGTAAGTCTCTTTAGCCTCTCTTCATATGGGACCTGTTCCAAACCCCTGATCATTTTAGTTGCTCTCCCCTCTCCCAACCTCTCTCTTCCTCTCTCCCACCTCTTTTTCCCAGTCTCCCCCAGTTTTGTTCAATAAAGAGAGATTCTATTTTTGAACACGTTTTCTTTATTTTGTACATCGGGAAGGGGGGCTAGGGAAGGGTAAGTGGAAGGAGGCAGCCTGCGGCAAGTGCAGCCGGGGTGATGGCCGAGTGCTGTGATGTTCCGTGTGTGGGCACTCAGGGAACTCCAAGCCAGGACTGCTTTGCAAGCGGGGAACCCTGAGAACTGTCTGTCCGGGGTGGGGGTCAGGTCCCTTTAAGCACAGCCCTCGGTTAGCCTGAGGCAGCAGCTCCACGCTCCACTGCTTCTGGCCATCCTTAACCTCTGTTCAGGATCCACTCTGTGTGGACATGCTAGTTCGAATTAGCAAAACGCTAATTCAAACTAGTTTTTAAGTCTAGCTGCGCTAATTCGAATTAGCTTAGTTTGAATTAACTAATTAGTTAATTCGAATTAGCAATGTAGTGTAGACATACCCTCAGAGACATTGGAGATTGGTTTGCTCTGTCCTTTGTTACAGAGCTGATCGCTTGAATGCTGTATACAAACTCAGAGACAATGAGGCTGAAGGGACCTATCACAATTATCTAGTCTCACTTCCTGAACAGAACCTCACCTGCAATAGGCCAATAACTTCTGGCAGAATTACTGAAGTTCTCAAATCTTGCTTTAAAGATTTCAAGTTACAGAAATTTCACCATTTACTTTAGTTCTAACCAAATGACCCATAGCCCACATGGCAGAGGAATGGGGAAACGCCCAAGGCCTCTGCCAATCTAGCTTGGGGAAGATTCCTTCCTGACCCCAAATTTGGGGATCAGTTAGAGCATGAGCATGTGGGCAAAACCCAGCAGGCAGACATCTGGGAAAGCATCCTCTGTAACAGCTCAGACCCCTTTGGTCTCCTGTTTTGGTTACACATAGGCTACGTCTACACTGGCCCCTTTTCCGGAAGGGGCATGTAAATTTCATGAGTCGTAGTAGGGAAATGCACGGGGGATTTAAATATCCCCCGCGGCATTTAAATAAAAATGTCCGCCGCTTTTTTCCGGCTTTTAAAAAAGCCGGAAAAGAGCGTCTACACTGGCCCCGATCCTCCGGAAAAAGCGCCCTTTTCCGGAGGCTCTTATTCCTACACATTACGAAGTAGGAATAAGATCCTCCGGAAAAGGGCACTTTTTCCAGAGGATCGGGGCCAGTGTAGACGCTCTTTTCCGGCTTTTTTAAAAGCCGGAAAAAAGCGGCGGACATTTTTATTTAAATGCCGCGGGGGATATTTAAATCCCCCACGCATTTCCCTACGGCCAGTGTAGACGCTCTTTTCCGGCTTTTTTAAAAGCCGGAAAAAAGCGGCGGACATTTTTATTTAAATGCCGCGGGGGATATTTAAATCCCCCGCGCATTTCCCTACTACGACTCATGAAATTTACATGCCCCTTCCGGAAAAGGGGCCAGTGTAGACGAGCCCATACTGAATCTACTGCCCTTCTGAATAGTCACAGGTATAAGCCACTCACTCTCAAACTGTGCTGTTGATGAGTACAAATTTATATTAGATAAGGCATATAGCTTTAAGGGACAGTTATAGTCAGAAAAACGACTATGTAAAAATGGCACTTCCTTACTTAGCAGATTAGTATCTAGTGTGGAAGCTATTCACTTTGGTGGCTAAACTAAGCCCTGGGCTACAGTACAAAGTTAGGACCATGTAAGTTGCCTGGTGTCTACCTAGGTGTGTCTTTGTTTACACTCAAATTTGTCTCTAGTTGAGGTCAATGCCCTGTTAATACAATGCAATAAAAGCCATCTCCCCGAATAGTGCAGCGTCTTAGTTGACCTACTGAGGTTGACACAATGCCAGAGTAGACACTGCATGACCTATGTTGACACTAATAACTCTCTGGCAACTGTCCCACAATGGCTCATTCCCTACAGCAGTGACCCTGATCCCATTTTTAGCTATTCTGCTCAGGAGTCACAGAGACCAGAAGCCACCCCTTCCCTTTTACATCCCCCAGGGCCGGCCCACAACATTTTGGCACCTGAGGCGGGGAGCTCAAATGATGCCCCCATACCCCCTTGCACCAGCAGCAGACACAATTTTCTACACTCTGGGTCCTAGTGGTGCCTCCCCATAGTCTGGCACCTGAGGCAGCTGCCTCATTTCACTTCATGGTAAGGCCAGCCCTGACATCACCCCCTCCCTGACCCGTATTTTTGAAGTGACTTTTCCTGATTGCCTAGCTTGGCGAGCACCCCTGGAAGCTCACTCTTGTGTACAGTTGTCCAACCAACACCTCACTAAACAACCTCCCGTGTAGAATAGACTGGAGTTATTGGCCCTCCTGGACCTTTGGGGAGAGGAGGCTGGGCAAGCAAATACTGGACATCCATAAACAGACTACACAGGGGGTGCAGGCAAAAGGACACCACAGAGCTAGGGAGGTCTGTGAAAATGAAGGAATTTCACTAGGGATACCATAAGGCTAGGGAGACTAACAACAGATCTGGGATGAACTTAAAAAACCCAAATAGTCTGGTAGCACTTTAAAGACTAACAAAACATGTAGATGGTACCATGAGCTTTCGTGGGCCCACTTCTTCAGATGACCGGAGTGTTGGATGTCCAGAACCAAAATTAAATAGGGAAGAAGGGGGGGGGGGGAGGGGAATTGGGTAAATATCAAAGGGGAAACCAAGCTGGTATGTAACAGGCAAAACACCTAAAGACTGGATAATTAAAAGAAGCAGATAAGGACCAGTAATTAGCATTTAGAGAGGAAGAGTTCTAACACCAGAGTGACCTGCAGACCTGCTGTTTTTACAAAGAGCTGCATAAGGACCCCTCTCCTGGCCCCCCTTCCTCACAAACGATGTGGATACTTCCAAGTAGCCTGAGGCACAGCCCCCTGCCATGAACAGTGAGGAAGCCAAGGGAACAAGGGTTAGGCTGGATCCCCCAGATCACTCTGGACATCTTACCATTGCCAAGTGTTACCCACTGGTCAAGAGTGAATGTCCCTGCTTGCAGCTTTCTGAACAGTTCTGTGTTCTCATGCACCTTCTCTGAGCAGCCCATGCTGCTAACAGTGAAGCAACCCTGGTGGGGGCTGGTGCCAAAATAGGGGCAAGTATGCTGCATATTGACCCACCACAGTTTGGGAATCCCATCGCTGCAACTCCATCCACTGTAACCTGCTCATTGCTGAGCATCACAGTTCTGCCTCGCAGCCAATGTTTAATGACCCTACATATTGGCATGATTTTCCAACTCCAAATTG